CATGCCTCGTGGAAGGGCCTTAGTCGCTTACGCAGGGCCACCCTTCCAGAAGTTGAGGTGGAGGTAAAATAAAGCTGTTAGGATATTTAACACTGTCAAGCTTGGATGTCTTTTTGGCCAGCTTACTGAATCTTTTAAAGCTTTTCTAGGGCTCATAGGTATGGTGTTACTTTATATGTGCAAAGATAGCCTTTACACCCAGGACGTTCTCTGGCCTGGACCTCAGGAAGGGAATGAGCGGGTGCATGGTTCTTGCTCTCAGGTTGTTCACCGTGTCGTAAAGTGGGTGACCGTGCAGCTCCCTGGATGTAAGCCCTGTGCTGTGGGAGCAGTGAAAGGGGGATAGGATTCTGCTTTCCTGAAAGAGCCCAGGGCCTAAACTCTTGAGACAATGATAGGTGACATCATCTGTGGTGAAAAGCATGCTGTTAGTGACAGACGGGTTGGTTTTGAATTCTGGCTCTACACTTGCTTACCGGTGACCTTAGAGACTTCTTTGGCCTGTCATTCCTTGGTTTCTTCATCTTCAGAATGAGTGTAGAACTGGTTTCATGGTTGTGAGAGCACGATCCAATATATGCATTTAGCATTTCATGCTTTAACATTCTCCAGTGTAAAATCTCAACTGTTGCTTATAATTGAAAGTGTCATATTTTTAGAGGAAAAATCCTAACCCAGTATTGGTTTGTATTTAGTTGAAACACTTTTGTTTATGTTGTATAATTAGATGTTTACAGAAAACTAGTTACTGAGATGGTATAATTTGTTAAATATACCAGTCACTTTATTTTTCAATCTTAGAAATAGGATTGCCGAAATAGTAGACATTAGGCCACTTAAACAGAGCCAGCATCGGTGACTATTGCAGAACTCATGGAATCAGTGAACCGTAGTTTAAGGCGTAGTGTCATGCTCTGCGGTCTTCATTGCTTGCCTACAGATGCTGTAGTCCCTCGTGATCTGTGTGGAAGGCAGGCAGGAAATAGATGTTTGAGAAGTGCTGCACGCTCAGTTTTACCTCAGGGGAGCTCTGCAATCCCCCAGGAGCAGCGAGGCCTAAAGTGCACAAGAGCTGCTGCTAGAACCCTTTGTTGGCACCTTTGTTGGTGCCATCCTACAATCTTAGGGACCATAACAAAGTACTGATGATAGTAAAAGCTCTGCACTTCCCCTGAGAGACACCACCGCGGAAGATACTGTCTAAGCCTTTTTACGTAATTTGCTTTCTTAAGTTTAAAACTATTGTGTGGTAGCTAGTTTCTATGTCTCCAACCTAGGTGACACACACAGGCTACTCAGCTTCAGTAGTTGCACTCATTGTGGGCAGATAGGGTCACCCTGTCCCCACACCCAGGGCCTCAGTGGCCATGACTGGGTCAGGCAGCTGTGCTCCAGCCCTTTGTGGGCCCAGAATCTTCAGCCATGCTGCGTAGAGTGAGGCACTGGGATTCCCCCATCTCAGGACAGTTCTGTCTCCAGCGTGTGTTCTCTTCGCATCTAGAGAATCTGGTATTCTCTTCTGATGCCCTTCTGAGTTTTGATTCTGTTTTTGAATTAATACATTATTTCTTTAGCAGTTGTACTAATGTTGAACATTTTGTTACTTTTGTTCATATAGATCATCTTTAAGTAAAGTCAGTGTTAAAGAGAAATAGAGAAATGCCAAAAATTTTAATACTAGGAGGAACAAGTCATCCACCTGATAATGAGACCCAACTGCCTTTGTCATTATTTCCTCCATTCTCCTGAATATCATCAGTTCTCTTCACTGCCTGCCTTTGTTCTACAGGGGCTGTAGCTGAATACTCCATTTTACATCTTTATCATTCGCCTCCCTTTCCATCTGGTCTGTAGCTTTTCACTTTCTATTTTTGTTCTTTCTCTTCCACACTGTTCTCTGGTTTTATTCTTCCATGCTCCATATATTCTTTTCCCAGGCATTTGTTGAGCATTTATTATATGCTGAGCCTAAGAATACAAAGGTTAATTAGAAAAGCAAGACAGGAAAATGAATGTGACTTGCTGTAGAGATGCACAGGCCAGTAGAGATGCTGGAGGTTGAGGTGGGGAAAGAATGGATCTGCCTGGAAGACTAAGAGAAGATAAAGTCTAAGCCCATCCTCCTGTGGGCAGCTGGAAGGGAAGTCTTGAACCAAGGAGCAGTACAAACTGTGTTCGAGGGAAAAACACAGTAGGGTAACTGGAGACCCGAGAGCTAGGTGTGAGGTGCCGCTGGAAAGATGGCCCTGGGCCAAGCTGAGGAAAATTTGGCATCACCAGCCTGAGGAGCTGACTTCTTCAGGAGGTAAGAGGAGCCACTTCAGGCATTGGAGTTCGAGCAGTCTTCTGGTGTGGCTGCCCAGTGGAGCTGGTATGGAAGCGAGGAAAGGTTTGAATGAGGGTGCGAGGTTAGGAAGCATTTGTGGAACCGGGTCCTAAGTCAGGTGGCCTATAGAAGGGCATAGCTAATGGATGTTTGAGGAAGAAGAATCACAGTGCTTGGTGAGAGGAGAGAAGTGATTACCAAAATTGACAGCACAACAACTTTATGATGCTGCGCTCTGAAGTCGAACTCTAGAAGTGCACAGGATTACTGGGAAAGGTCCTAGCCCAGTCTCAAGTGATGGGGTGCCTGTGGAGCACCACACAATGAAGATATGATGACTTTAAGATTTAGCTGATGCAAGCAGGAGGTTATGAGTTCAATCCCTGGAACAACAACAAAAAAATAGAAATCATGTCTCACTATTTAGGGCTGGGGATTTAGCTCAGTGTTGTAAGCACCTGCCTGGCGAGATTTACCTGATGGTTTTAACCCCAGATTGTCCAAGGAAAATATATGTGCAAAACAAAGAAAATATAACCCAGGACACATCAGAGATACAGGCATTCCAGGGTGGCCACTGTTTTGCTGTAACCTGTGTTTTGTTGGGATGTAGTAAATGGTGCTCTAAACTGGCAGGCACTGAAGGGTTGGGTAGAGGAGCAGCTGCCAGCAAGAATAGGTCAGAACGGTGGGCCATCTGAGATCTAGAGAAGAGTGCATCTGAGGAGAAGAAGGGTTTAGGGTACTGCAGTGTCAGGTACAACTTGGAGATGGGAGTGAAGCAACCTTTGGGTTAAAGACTGCGAGTTCTCCAGGGTCAGTAAAATTCTTGTACGTGGATTCTTTTCTGCTCTCTGTGTGTCCTATTGCTTCTCAGTTTTTACACTGAGTGAATTGACATTTATAGATATATGCTCTTCCAAACATTCTTTTCTTTCTAGTTGGAAAACTGCACTTATTGTGAGCCTGTCTTGCTTATTATTTCTATCTTTCACTAGTCTTGGCTATTCATGTTTACAGCTCACAGATCTTTTACTCCTCTTGGCAGCATATCTTATTAGTTCTAGAAAGCTCTTAGAAGTTTCACTTTTTGTGGATTAGGCCATACTAAGACCTTTAAATCTGAACAACTGCTCATATAAACAGTAGAGTGTACATCCTGTACATTTAACCTGCGTGACTTCAGTTACTGTGCTGAAAAGAAAAAGTGGGAAACACTTAGGATATTAATGATCCTGCCTTCCCTGACCTGGGTCCATATGTGAGCCACCACTTTTCTTTCCCTCTGTATCAACCCCAGGCATCTGTTGGTATCACTAACTCTCCAAACAGAGTACCAGTCTGACATGTGCCTTAAAAAGCACATGCGTGTGCTGTTGAGGTGGTGCACACCTGTAATGCCAGCCTCTTAGACAAAGGTAGACAAAGGCAGGAAGAGTGGAAGTTTGAGGCCATCCTAGGCAACTTAGCAAGACCTTGTATCAAAAAATAAAAAAGGGCTGGGAATGTGGCTCATTGATAGACTGGAGGCTTAACATGTGTGAGGCCCTAGGTTCAATCTCCAGTACTGAAAAAATAAACCAGATATGTACACTTTCATAGAACATGAACCCTAAAGCATGCAAGCAGGGCTCTTAACATGATGCTCAAAGGCATAAGGATGTAGGACACTGTTTTAGAGCTGCTGAGGAGACCCACAGTGAATGTCCAAGTCTTTCAAAGCCTTTCAAGGATATTTTTGCCTGTAAATGCTCTCTCCCTCCCCTGGAAACTTGGCTCTTAGCACTCACAGGAGATGCACCTCTGAGTAGGGGACATCTGTGAAATCAGCCTGGCCTCTCCGGCAGCAGCTTCGCATGTTTGGTAGAAGAACCACAAGACCAGCTCAGAATAGAGAACTTGAGGCATCCTGAGTTCTGGGAGAGAACTCCTCTGTAGGCGTTGGCATGGGAAGGTGTGTATGAGGTAGGAGGTGCCGTGGGGTCAGAGGTGATGTGCTGTCAGGGAGATGACATGCCACAGAGCCTGGGGACTGAGTGTCCCCACAGCCATACCTGAGCAGAGAGCATGTATTTCACCTACATGTGCCTGCCTTTCCTCATCTGAGCTGAGAAGACTGTGGATGGCTTTGCTTGAGAAGACACAGTGGCAAATGGGAGAATCCTTGAAAGGCAGGTTTTGCAGATGTGGCTAGGATACTGCGGGTGCCATGCTGAGATTCCTGTCCCATCAGTAAGCCTTCCTGTGAGCATGCTGGGTTGAGGCACTCTGGCAGGATCTGCTAGGCCGACTGGGGAAGGATATGATTGCGCCAGTGTTTCTGTGGTTCCCCTAGCGTCCTGTCGACTCTCTGCATAGCCACTTGATACGTCCTTGGTGGCCTGTTCTTCCTCCTCTGGCCTCCACTAGCCCGGGCTCCATCTCACCTTGAAGATGCAGGCCTTCTGTGACTCTTCTGGTTCCCGTCGCATTTTCCATTTACACCACATAGAGCAGTGGTTTTCAAAGTCACATTTGCTGGTCCTTAGTGTGTAGTTCACCCTTAGGCACAGAATTATGAATGACTTTGTGTTGTTCTGTTTGTGTTTTATGAATGTATCACCTTCGCCTCAGCTAGCCTGTGAGTTCCTTGATAATCATTGTTCTTTTTGTTTTGTGTCATTTTTTCCTGTAGAACTTTCATTGTTGAGGTTCCTCAGTGCTGAACTAACCAGAGGGTACTTCCTCGAACATAATGAGGCCAAGTATACAGAAAGAAGAGAAAGAGTGTACACTTGTATGCGAATACCAAGAGAATTGGAAAAGGTACTGTTTTTTCATTTCCAGACATTATTTCAAAAGCTATGTCAAAGCGTTATTCATAAGAAAAAAAAAAGTGAACAACTTCAGTTGCATTTCTAAAATATCGAAAGTAATGTTGAAATAGGAATTGCCTGTAGGGAGATTTTTAAAAGGTACATTTGTAGCACAAGAACCAATGATAGCATGTTAATACGTTTTTACCAAAATGTTAATTATGTACTGAACTTTTTTATGTTTGTGTCATATCTAGATAAATTCTCCAGATAATTCCTGTCCATTTCTGTACTCATACAGTTTCCCTCAGTTTGGTTTTGTTGGCGGAAATAACATGATAAATTATTTAATTTTAGTCTTTTTAAGGTTTCAAAAAGCATACATAGTGTATTTTAAAATGTGAATCAGTAGTCTTTTCAAAGAGAAAGATGTGTGGCATTTGTCTCAGAAAGAGCCAGCATAGCGGAGCAGGGCTAGTCTTGGCCACGCTTCGTCCCAGAGACAGCAGGAAAGCACTCCTTTACCTCTAAGCGCCGCTGCAGTTAATGAACCTGAGTGAAATTCTTGTTGGAATTAAGAAATAATTTAGCTAGTTACACTGCAGCATATTTTCAGACTTCTATAGTAACATCAAGGCCAGTCATTTCCTTAGAATTGTGCTGTCCCTTAGAGCAGCAGTGGAGGGACTTTGCTGGTTTGCTCATGGGCACTGTAGTAACAGGAGGGGGAGCAGCAGGAAAGCAGGGACCCCCCTGGGTTGGTCCTGTAACATCCTGCCCATCACTTTGCTGGAAGGAAGGCAGCCCAGGGTGGTATGAAGTACCAGCCCTGCTTTCTGTAGGTTCTCTGTGAGCGTGCCACCTGCTGCCGCCTTAGGGAGTACTGGACTTGGGCGAGGCTGGGGCTGTGGTGAGGGCACCAGTGCCAAAGGAGCGATGGCCTGGGGGCCATTTGGATGCTTGAGCCTGATAGCCTTGCTGCTTTCTTGGGGATCTGAAGGGCAGGTGATGGGGACCGAGAGGAGCCAGGCTCTGCAGCCTGCAGCAGCTGCATTGATGTGGGGGGAGTATCTAAGATCTTGTCTGGGCTGGGAACAGAGCGGGGAGGCTTGAGAGAAATCAGAAGATGAAACCACTTCTGACATCTGAAAACACTTTTGTCTGCTTTTCAAAGCGCCCCCTCCCCGCTCCATTTCCTCGCAGTGATAGCCGTGAGGTGGAAAGGTGGAAGTGCAGAGACAGAGGGATTGGCAGTGAGGCCTGGGTTTGTCCAGGACGAGGCCAGCACATTGCACCTTTGCCTGCCCGGCCTCCGTGCAGGTGAGCAGTGCAGGTGGGAGATCACAGAGAGACTGGCTGCAGCCACGGCCAAACACGGACACAACATGTAGGACAGCAGCTATCTGACCCCTTCTGCCATCTGTCTGGGGCAGTGTCCACTCCCATGCCTCCTGAGACACAGGTTCAGAGCACAACCCTTCTCCCTCTATTACCAGCTTGAAAACAGCAGGCAGTGTTGCTGCTTTTCATTTTTGTTGCTATGTGCACAGATTATCTTCTGGAGGAAATGCTTGTAGACGTGGATGGGGTCTAGGTGTAAACAGGTGTTTGTTTTTGGTACCAGGGATCAAACTCACAACCTTGCACTTGCCAGGCAGGCACTTGTGCCACTGAGCTAAACCTCTGGCCCAAACTGGTGTTTTTAAACTAGGGTCCTGTATGGGTCCCCTGCAGGATCAGGTAATGTAGGCAGTAAATTACTGTGAGTGAGGGTTTTCTTTTATTAGGAATAGCAAAAGTGGGGTTGGAGATTTAGCTCAGCAGCATAAGCGCTTGCTTGGCAAGCACAAGGTTGTGAGTTCAATCCCTGGTCCCACAAATAAATAAGTAAATAAATAAAGGAATAGCAAAAGTGTCAGGGGGTACTGTCTGTATTGTAAGTGTTTATAAAGCTTGGGTTTGCTAAAGGTGAGCTCTGTAGTGTCTGAAAAGCTGAATTAACTCTGCTTATACACATTTTTGTTTCCCTTGAGGCTTTTGACTGTAGCCTATTTGGGAAAATTTGAATCAGTCTCTTAGAACAATAGTTCAAGAAGGTTTGTAGCATAAATGGACAAAAAGATATCATGCATTTCAGTTTGGAGCAATTTCTCTGTAGCTTCTAAGATCAAGGAAAATATAGAAAAAAAGCAGAGTTGGGTTTCAGTTCAGTTCCAGGCTCGACACTTAACGGAACATGTCTCACATAACTGTACAAAACCACACTGGTATCTTCTTATGTTTATTTTATATATGTAGGATCCCACTTAAAGTTATAACTATAAACATTGAGAAACTATTTAGGTTTTTTAATCTAAATTTTTGTTGGTTTCCTTTTAGCTTACTAGAGTATTTTAAAATACCTTGATTCACAAACACTTTTGTTTGCAGTTTGGTTCATAAACAGAAGTATTTGGCAAAAATTTTTGTTTGCAAACTGTACATCAGGTGACAGACACAGCCATTGCCTTCTCTCCCATGCAGACACAGATGTGACCATCTTTTCTGAAACCACAGGACAAATTAAGTTCATAGACTAAAGTACCACTGTGTCTTAGCTATTTTTTGTTTTGTCTTGTTTTCATTTTGTTTTTCATTTTTGTTTTGTTTTGTTTTGTTTTGATAAAGCTGTGATGCTTTTGCCTAATGCTTTCAGGAAAAAAAAAACTTAAGTTAGAAAGCACTTTGCTTCTACAAAGCTTATAAATACTCTAAGACTTTTATGTCTAACGGTTATACTTTAAGGTCAAGAGAAAGATCAATTGTGTCCTACTCAGTCTATTTACTAACATGAAACAAACGAAAATGTGGCTGGATTAGTAATTTATACTTGACATTTAATAAAAACAACTTGTTTATGTAAAGTAATATTTACAACTTTTCATTAACACTTTTTTTTCCTACATTTGAACTTTTTATACTAATGCAAAGATAGAAAATTTGGGGATATTTTATTGCCTTTGGGAGGATATTTCTTCCTTTTCACTTAAATCTCTCTTCTCCATCCATTTTGGGTTCTTTTCTCAGGTCTGGTCCCAGTGTATTGTTGGTCCCCCTTGGGAGATGCTCTTTCCCACACAAGCAAGGTGACTGAACTGTCCCTTCCCTGCATTCTAACTAGAGAGGCAGGGGAGGGAACTATTGGGAGAATGCTAGCTGCAGCCAGACTTCCAGCCGCCAGCCAGGCTCTATGGTGTGTTAGGTGTGATGAGGCCCTGAGCTGCTCACTCACCTTGCTGCACCTCGAGATTCTGCTCTGTGTGTTCGCTGAGTCCTGTACAAGTACCTTCAAATCAGAATCCCTAGAATTCAGATTTGTGTATGTGCTAATGTAAGGAAATAAAGGTTGCTTATTCCTTTGTTCTATACTATAAGTCCTTGCTTTTTGAGATAAGGTCTCACTGTGTAGTCTGGGTTGGCCTCTACCTTAGGACGTAGTCCAGGCTGGCCTCGAACTTGTCATCCTCCTGCAGCATCCACTTAATTGCAGGGACTGTAGGCGTGTGCCACCACTGTGACACCACCTAGCTATGTCATATAATTTACTATGTTCCAGACCCTTATTCAATATGGAAGTCTAGAGGTAAACATGAAACTCAGATCTGAGTGTAGTGGGAGATATCAGCTACATAATTAATGAAAATAGAAGATACAAAGTGATAAGAGCAATTAAATAGTATAACGAAATGCTATTAAGAATTTACAGAAGCAAACACTTGCTTAGAAGACATGCCTCCTAAAGAGGACCAAGCTTTGTGAAGGAAATAAATGACCAGAGAATGAGGAAAAGAAGTAGATTTTGTACGTGTGTCAAGTAGATTGTGGGCATGTGTGTGCGAGAGAAGTGGTGAGGGTGAGTATTCCAAAGTCAGAGGTGTGGAATTGCTGGATGTGACGGGGAGCTTCCAGGGCACACTGGAAAGGCAGAGCGGGCCGGCTTATGTTGGATGTTCAGGCCGAGGAGTTTAGAATCAAGGCTTGGGTAGAGGATGTTCAAAATATGTACCTTAGGAATGCTGTTGGAAACTGTATAGAAAAGAAAACTAAAAGTGATTTAAACCAGTTTGTTTTGTTTTGTTTTGTTTTTTAAACACGTCTAAAGGAAAGAGGTCTCAATTGTTTCAGCAGATTAATGAAGCTATTGTGAATCCAAATCTTTTTTGTCTTTTTTTCTGTCCTTGGCCATTGGCTTTTGGTCTCCTTGTTTGTTTGCCTTTTAATAGAAAGATGACAGCTATGACCTCAGGCATTAGGTCTGCGCTATAATCAGAAAATAGAATGGGCAGTGCCCCTTTTTGACTGTCCCTTAGGAAGAAAGCAACATGGGCATTGACTGTTCCTTGCAAAGAATTAAAGCTTTCCAAGAAGCACCCTCACAACACCCCCATTTCTGTTTGTCAAGCTACATAGCCATCCCTAACTGCCAGGGCAACTAGGACAGTGAATGTTATGTTTTCCCAGCAAACAGGGGAGGGTTGAGAATGGTTATTGAATGAGCCCCCTTCAGAGGTACACTTCTGAAGAACTACAGTATTCAGCGTGGGTGGGAAATAAGCAAGGAATGCCCAAGAGCTGTCCGTGTGTGTGGTCTTTCTAGAGATTAATTCGTTTACCTCTTAAGACATTTGTTCCTGGAGTTATGTTAGACATTGGTTGTAATTATCTGACTATTCCATAAAAATTACTTCTTCATGTAACTTTGTTGTAAAAAGTTGAACTGAAATGAAAATAATATTTTATCTTCATGCCCTTAAAATTATGTGTTTTTGGTACTCTTTTATTCTTACACTTTTATGTTATAGTCATCTAGTATATTCTTCTAAATATTGAATTCATCTACTTAGTCTTAAATGAAACTACTCATTTTTTTTCTAAGAACCTAGCAAGTTTTTTAAGCCTTAAAATTTTAGGGTGAAGGTGTTATAAAAGTATTGATACACAGACATAGAATATTGTTATTACCAAGCATAG